GCTCCGCCCCTTTCCCCCTGCACCACCACCACTGGCTTAAACTTTGTTGGAGATGCCTGCGTCATAGATCTCTGCAGCCTGCTTCTGTTTTCTTCCTGGTCCAGCCTTCTTCCATTGTGCCAAAGGAAAGTTTATTCTTCAAAGGCAAGTACAGACATAATTCCATTATTTTTTCGTGAAAACCCACTCTAGTTAACCGCAGCTATTTTGGAGACACATTATACAAGGTCTACTTATCTCAAGGCCAAAGTAACAAACATTTTAATCGTTCCAGTTGACCAATATTCATTGACTTCTATATTCTGCTCTGAGTTTCCCCCATTGACTAGCATATAATAGAACCTAAAAATGGCAATGAATTTAATTTTTACTAGTTCAATTACAAATAAGGATTGAGTTGTGTGGTTAAGAGCAAGTTCAGCCAAGTTAAAATGAATGACTTCCACGAAAAGGCTCTGTAGGAAATTTCTCAGGCTGAGCTAGAATTCTAGATGAAACTAATTTGTGCTTGGGAAGTTACTGTCTGAGAACAGCTGTTGGGTTGTTCCCAATATCAACCTGGAACTTAGGGGAAGTACAGGCATATGGATTGCAGGAGACTTTCAAGATCAATATCCCAGGCCCCAGCCACAGTAGGGGATCTGACTGGTGGATTGGAAGGAGCCTGGAGACCTCATATTTTTAAATTTGCAAATTATTTTATCTTAGAAAAAGAAAAACACCAACTTAAAACAATGACTCAAAGTGAATGTAGGCCTCCCATCTGGGTAAGGACATAGTAACTGAAACTCCCATTTCGTCTTCCCCTAACTTTCATGTTAGAATAGGTGGAGAGAAAGATGTGTTTCTGCTTTTTGTGTTCTTTGATTTCTGGTCATAAAATGAATTGTTCCAGAGGAAAAACAACAGACTAAGCTTCTCCTAGACAAAGCTACTGCTGTTGGAAAACAGACACAGGCAGATTAGAGATTTCTCGAAGTGGAGAGGTCATCTCCAAACAACTGTTTGGAGCAAAACCGAACTGTTTTACCCTCAGCCTGGACGTTTACTAAGTGTAGGGTCATGGGTTCTTCCAGATGGAGATGAAGCCTTCTCAGGAGCCCTGCTTCCAGCCCCGGGGATGTGGGGATGCGGGCCGCCATCTCCTGAAGTAGAGGTATCTCTGCCCGACCACAGTGGCACATCTGTACCACAGCCTCTTCCCTCAGCTCACAAGTTAAAGCCGGGACAAGGGGTTGCTACTCCTGCCTGGAGCCGGTTACTGTGCCCCAACACGCCTTTCCTCAGTCCTGGCAGTGAACTCGGCCACCGTGCATGGCCCTTTCAGGGTCATCAGGTCTCTCCCAGTCTCAGAGCCATCGGAGAGGCAGCTCTTTCCTGACACCGTGTTCAAGGATGAGCAAGTCTCCAGGTCGCAGCTCAAGTCCCACTGCTTTACTGGGCAGGTGCCGAGATTCCACTAGTTCTTCCTACAGGGAGAATGGCTTCATCCCTTTGCAACAAGGGGACCCCCACAATCGTCCCCCTCAACCCTGTGTAACTTAACTCTCTATCACTATAACAGCAGACCTGGGTACTTTTTTATTGTTTACTGATGGTTTTCGAGGTTCTGGTCCTTCAAGGGGTGGACTCTCCTTTTGGGCCTCTGCTGGCAGTGCAGACTGCAGTGGCAGGGAGGACGTGGCAAAGGGAACTCTTTACCCCTTCACTGGGAAGCAAAAGAGAAAGGGCACAGGGCGAGGCCCTGCAGGACCCACCAAGGGATCCCGCAATGAGCCATGGGCACTCCACTGGGCATTTCCATGGTCCCCTGAGCCCACGAGCTCCCAATTGTAACACCTTGGGGTCCAGAATTTTAGCACACACACTTCTCAACATCCAAACTCCCTTTCTGCCTTCCTTCCGTCCTTCTACCACCCTCCCTTCTTTCCTCCTCTCTCTTGTAGCTTGTTCTCAGCCCACGGTGGGTGAAGCTTAGGGTGTCCTGAAGGCGTCCCGTGCCATACGTAGACAGCTGGAGGATTTCTGCGCATCCTGAGCTCTCCTTTGTATCAGGCAGGAGCATCACCTGTCACCAGCAGGAGACCTCACTGCCTCGGCTTATTTTCTGGGGAAGTTGCAACTTGTACTGCTAACTTTGCAAGCACTGTCCTACCAGTGAATTTCCCACTTCCTTAAGGAATTGTGGTGTGTCTGGCAGCTGCATATGTATGGTTTTTCCTCTGGACTGTTTGTTCACAGTCTTTCTCAGCAGTTCCTTTTGTGAGGCTGCTGTGATGGGTAGACCCTAAGCCATACCATGAGGACCAAAGAGCCCCAAAGAGAATGCATCTCATGAGCAAACTTCTAGAAGATTTATTCATTTTGGTGGTGTTTGAGTTTTATTTTACTATCTAGTTTATTTATTATGGCAAAGAGTTTTTAAAAATCTCTTCGGAATCAGGCATGGTCATAGACGACTGCGATTCTAGCACTCGGCGAAGGCTGAGGCAGGAGGATTGCCCAGCCAAGCAACCGAGTGAGCCCCTGACTCGGAATAAAAACCACAAAGGCTGGGGATGTGGTTCCATGTAAAGGCCTTGGTGGAGCCCTCAGTACTACCAACAAAACCGTAGCTGTGAGCGCCCATCCGCAGAAGGTGAGGGTCTGCAACAGTGCCCGGAGGCAGCTATGAGAACATGGTCACGCCGAATCCGCTAGAAGGCAGTTGGGAGTCGGAAGCCGCTGAGCAGGAAGCCCACCTCCATCCATCACCTTCACAGCAGCCCAGGGGGGCGCTGAGGGGGCGCCATCTGCACTGCGCCAGCACACAGGTCATGTGCATTTCTTTGTTGGCTGTTTGGATTTTGCACTTTGCCACTTGCCCTCCCCAAAGGTAGACGCTCATTAGAATGCTCTCCCAGCAGGCAGGGCTGTCCTTCTGTCTTCTTGGAAGAGTGGGCTCCCTTTTCTTACAGGACTCGCCTCCTGAGTCTTGCCTGGGGGAAGCTCCAGGTAGAACCTTTTCTCCCAGACCTGAGACCTGGGTTTCAGAGCTTCTTCCTCTTCCGGTTTACACCTGCCACTGGTGCCAGTGCGGAACCACCTGTGCCCTCCCTGCGAAGCCTCTTTTGCGTTAACTCTGTGCATTAGAGTGTGTTAAATGCCACACTCTATTCCCATAAACCTGCAGCTGGACCTCAGTCCTTGCAGGCAGTGTGTTGAATCCACACATCTACGCAAACCCACACGCCGCATTTGACAGCTGCATTTTTGTTCCCAAATGCCTCTTTCCTGGGGAGTGAGTGCTGCCTCCCACAGAGAGGAGTGTTTTCCTTTAATATTTCCATGTCATCTGCCGCTCCTCTGGACATCGATGCAGATGGGCACCCCACGAAGGGGACCCGCACATAGTTCTTGGGATGTTTGGATGAGTTTTTTAAACTTTGCTTAAAAGATGGCTCAGCTGTCTGTATCAAGTTACATTTATCTGCCACCCAAAGTAATATTAAGCAGTTACTTTTAGCCTTTAATGTATCTTGACTAAGAACATTTTTGCAAAAGAATGGTAACTTTTCTGGAAGGAGCATCAGGATGGATTTGCCCTCCTAAGGTAACGTACTTGAAAGTGACTCTGTTAAGGAAGCCTGGAGATGTGAGCTGTCCCTGTGCCACATCTGTGTCCTCCGACAGCATGCTGGGACCTGCCTTTCTCTCAACCCTGAGGAAACTGTAGTCCAAACTTGCAAAATGGCTTATTGTTAAAAATTAATGTGCAAGTTGACATTTAACTTAGTGGGAAATGAACTCCTTTCTCCAACTCCTGGGCGAATCTCTTAAACTACGGGTCTCACCCTCTTCCTCTGTAGGTTAGAGATAATAAATGAGACCTCCCCACCCTGTCTTGGGGGCTGGTGAGATAAAATGTGAAAATGCTTTGAAATACAAGTGTTTGTTGTTAGTGATTTATGTCCTTGGACCACTGACCGGGAGCAAGGGAATCGCCAAGCCAAGATTGATTTTCTCTCTTCTCCAAAGCAAAATACTCATGCCAGGATTAAAGGTTTTCATTGAACTGTCCTCCTGATGAATTCTAGTGAAATGTGTGTAAAAGGAGAGACGTTATTAGACTTTTGCAGAAATGCTTCATTTCTATGCCTTTTTACAACCTGAGAACTTGACTTTGTATCATTAGAGCACGAAAGCTTGGGAACCAGAGCTCACCAGCTACGCCCCTTCCACAAGGCACCAGACTCTCTGCCCTTAGATTCCTCCTCCTCAGTAGGACAGTGGACTAAATGGAGACCTGTCCAGTTCCAGAAGGGAGCAGTGCTCGCTGACCTGTGGCAGGAAGAGGCTGGAAGCCCTGTGTTCCTAGTCTCCCATGTGTGAGAACTCAGCTATTACTGTGTTTTAGTTCATGTTTCTCACAACTCTCCTTGGCAGATACTATTACATGCATACAAAAGATGGGAAAATTAAGGCAAAAAGAGGTTAGAGAGCTTAGCTAAGCCCACAGAGAGTGAGTGGGGCAACAGGGCTGTGCACCAGTGGTCTGACCTCAGAGGCAGAAGTTCTAATTATGCCTCATGCTGAGGCAAACTGTGTGTGTGTGTGTGTGCAAGCACATGCTCATTCATCTGTTAACTTGCCCATTTAGACTAATCTATGAGCATGTTCTTATATGGAATTGAAACTTCCCTGTAATGTCTCCTTGGAGTACCTCACTCCCTGCCAAGCCATTTCCTAGAAGTAACCAGAGTCCCCAGCATGACACTCACCAAGTCTCTCTCCGCACACTGATGGTGATACCTGTGCCCTGCGAACACACATCATATGTCCACGCACATTTTTAGTCTACATGGTATCTTAATTTATGTATCTTTTCTGCACAAAGTTTCCTTCACTTAACTATATGTCTAAAAACATTGCCTCTTTCTGTGCAACGTGGAAAAAAGCAAGTAAAGCTTTTACTAGGGTAGAGCTGCGCAGAATTCTATTTAATCCACGTTGATGGCAGCTCACGATGGTGGACGTGTACCGCTCTGATCACCAGTAGGGACGAGAATCTTCTGCTGACATAGGCTGACTGCCCACTTCATTTCTCTGTGAATTACCTATTTGTATTCTCAATTCAGTTTCATGTTGTCTTCATTGATTGCTGGAAGGTCTTTATTCCACACGCTGGTAATTTGTCTGTTGCTCACATTCCACGGACTTTCTCCTAGTCTGCTGTGTGCATATTTGTACACATTGAACTCAGGACTGTGCTGTGTGTTACCCCAAGCACTGCAGCTTACTTAGTCACTCTTGCTCACATTGCAGGAGAAGGGATGGGGTCGCCCCAAGTCTCACACACATGGCGGAGCCTAGATTGGAAGCCTGGCTGCCTCCAGACTAGCCTTACGTCCCTCTTGACCTATTTCTATTCTAGTGTCCCCAGCTGGTCAAATGCAAGGCGGTTTTGTTTTGTTTTGTTTTTCAATCTCAGGCCATTTTGCAACAGAACACTGTCATGAGAACAAGTGTCATTTTCAGCCAGTAAATGCTCTGTGTACTTTCTGTGAATGTGACTTGTGGCAGGGTGCAGCAGGTCTAGGAAGCATACAGCATGCCACAACCCTCTCAGAGGCCAGAGCTAACACACTAGCAGTGCTCTACAGGGCTCCCGAAGGCCTGGGCATGGACGTGCCAAGAGTCAGAGAGGCCGGGGGCCTGCAGGCAGACAGAGTCCCCTCACTTGGCATTGGTGCCCATGGGGGATTTGTGTTCTTCAGCACCTCCGGGACGGTCTCCCCACCACTGTCCGCATTACCATGTGTACCCCTGGGCCTTGAGCTGAGTACCATTGGCTCCACCCCATTCCCCGTACTGGCCTCCCTGATCTTCACTTTTGTCTGGTCCTCCTGGATTCCAACAGAGCAGTCTTCTGTCTATGCCAGTCTGATACACTAGAGGAGCCTGGTGGAAATCAGGGCCTTGTGATCACAGACCATGGTGGTGAGCTTACCCTCAAGGGCCCCTCTTTGGATCACGTTCCATCCACCTCCTTCCAAGGTCCAATCCCAGTTTCAGAGTAGAGCACACGGGCATCTCTCCCATTTGTTGGCATGGGAGACTTGGTCTCCCTCCCAGGCTGTTGGAATCAATCGTTGCGATCCCACTAGCACCTCATGACTTTCCTTACCCCTGGCTGATGCATACTTTCCCTTTAAATTTGACTTTATATACTTGGGGTTTTCTTTTGTTGCTTACCTCTGCTTTTTAAAATTTTGGAGAAGCCCCAGTTTCAGAGAGAACCAGGACTCTGGATATGCCTTTGTGTCTTCTACCTGTTTCCTCTGGACAAATAAAAATATCTGATACCTGGTTGGCTGCACAGTAAATCACAATGTTCTCACTCTCTGATCTCTAACCTCTATTCATCCTTCTAAAATCCTTTTTGGAAGCAAGGAAGTATTAAATAATTCAGATGTCACCTTCTCTGTAGAATCTCCCCCCAAACTCGCTCTGCTCCATTATCGGAATTTATCACTCTCTTCTTCTGCCTTCCCACTGTAACTTTTTCTTCCTAGCACAGCACTTAATCTACGGTATCACTGTGATTTATTTACTTTTCTGTTCCCTGTTCTGTTCTGGTCCCTAGACAGGGAGCTCCTAAGGACCAGGCTCGTTCACTCTGGTTGCTGCATTCACCGTAGTGCCCAGTGCTGGGTGAGTTGCTATGCTGATTGTGTGAAGGACGAGGCGAGATGCCCCGAAGAAAGAGGTGGAGGAAAGTGGGCACGGGTGCCACGGGAGGAAGAAGACGCCAGTGGGTAGGAAGTCTGGGCTGGAGGAAAGAGCTGTGGAGTGGGGAGAGGCCTGGCACAGGCCCAGGTCGGGGCTCCATCTCTTCTCCCGGTGCTTCACTCTGAGGCCCAGGGGGCGAACACTGGACTCCAGTTCCTGCAGAACGTTGCTGATATCCTCTCAAATCTTATTTACCATCAGTAAAATGGGATTGCTCACACTGCTGTCCGGGGGAGTGGAAAGGCTTAAGCACAGCAGTGTAACATGAAAAACGGTCGTGAATTAGAGGGATGCATGTTGAGAAGAGGAAGCCAGCTCTCAGGATTAGGCCTCTGGGGCCAGGGTGTGGAATCAGTGCGCAGCTGGGACTGGAACCCAGGTGCCCCAATTCGAAGTCAAGGATCCTTCTTTCCACAGCAGCAGGCCGTCCCCAGGGTGTGCAGAGTGCGTGCCAGATTTTCAGCAATTCCAAGGAATTCTTCCTGCACCCACTCACACACAAAGCCCATCCTCACATCTAGCGCCAAGGCGAGCCAGTTGGATGCCGAGACACACAGGAAACAACTGAGCTAGGAAGTAAACTGATCCAAGTGCTGAAAAGATAATTTGTCCAAAACCAGACCCCTGGTGAAGCTTCACTGTGTTATTTATGAGCTAAGGGCAGGAGTATGTGGAAACACAGGGTGTTGGGACAATAACAGAAGGTCTAGAAGGCCATTCCTGGTGCAAAAAGCAGGAACAGAGGGCCTTTCCTCCCTAGACTTCGAGCTTCTCTTCTAGGCTGGTTTTTCAGAAACACAATCCATCAACTTTGGAGTCTCACTTTCAGTGCCACAGCAGATGAGAGGAGGAGGCAGAGGTGCCATGCACAGGGCAGTGCTTGCATCTCCCCACAGGAGCCCCGGGAGGAGCAGTTTCTACCTCAGTTGGTTTCTGTCTCTGGTTCTTAGGTCCCCACAGTCCTCTGTCCAATGACCTGGAAACTGCCAGGCTGTCTGAGCAGAAAGAGCTCTGCCTGCTTGGTTTCTTGCCAAAGAGAGAACCAAGCTTCTCCATGGGTAGAGACTCTGGGTGGCACGTGGTTGAGCCCTCCAAGGCCTGAATAGCACTGACCTTTCATGCAGGTGAGGCTCACAGGTGCACAGAACTCAAAACTCATCACCCATGTGTGGTGGCTGGCATGTACATACTGAGTAAACTCAGAGGCACCCTGGCCTGCCCGGGAGCTCCAGGGCCAGTGCTTGGCTGTGTGGCATAGCTGCAGTGGACATTTTTGGACAGATCCCAAGAAATGATACTGGATTTGCTTCCGGGAAGAGTTCTAAGGTACCAGGAAAAGCATGGGAGGAATCTTACAATGTACAATAAACTCGTTTTTTCCTTTTGAAGTTAGACTCTAACGCATGCAATTAACTACTCAGTACTAACCAAATCAGTTCACATCCAAAAGAAGATGAACTGCAAATACAGACCTCAGGGCCCTGCTCTAGTTCCACTGCATGAAACTCTCAAGAAATCAAGGCATCTGTTCTTAGCTAATTCTCTGAAGTGGAGCTGATTCCAGGGTCAAGAGCTCCTGCCCTGCAGGGCAGCTCTTCCCTCTCCACTGAGGACCCTGTCTTGCAGAAAAGAGGGCTGAGCTCTGAGAGTTATTGGCTGGGCCAAGTCACAAAGATGTTTAGAAATGAAAAGCAATAAAATCTGGGTTTCCGGATCCCGAGGTCCACCATGCTCACCTCCCCCAGCCGCAGCACCTTTCTCTCCCAATTCTACTTCTCTCTAAGTCTCTTCATGCAAAGAAGACTTTGGTTGTCCCAGGCCCTTTCCCCTTCAAAACCCTCATTTTTCAAGCTGGCCCGGGGACCTGAGTGAGGATGTGTCTAAGTGGGCACTCATGGCTCAATGAGCATTGCATGGAACTTTCTGTAAATATCTGCAGAAAACCACAACCCAAAACAAAACAAAAAACTCAGCATGTTTTCCTTCCATAAAGTTATAACGGGGGATTCAGCAGGACATCCCTTTCCCCAAAATTCAGTCCTAGGAGCCAGAGGAGGAAAGCGCTAGACTGAAGTGGCAGGAGCCAGGTTTCAGGGTTTACTCTGTAGAAGCTGCTCCTTCTTTGGCTCATCTACATCGGAAACATGAGGGCATTAGATCGAATAATCGCAAAGGTCCTCTTTGCCTCGTAAAATCCTATTATATCACCCTTGCCTCGGTTTTTTCTGTTTCAATCCCTGTTTTCAGTGCAGGCACTGGGAAACAGTTCCCGAAAACACTGAAACGTTTGCAGCCCTGAACCCCAGGAATGTGATCTGGGGTGAGCAGCAAGGGGTCCACATGGAATAACTTCATTCCTGACAGAGGAGAGAGGAGCAGCAACCCAGGGAAGGCGGACACAGAATCGCAGAGGGCCCACAGCCGGAGGAGGGGAGAGTGTGTGTCAGGAAACGGGTCAGCAAGAGAGGTCCCCCAGTTTTTCTTCACTTGCAGCTTCCCTGGACCATGCAGAGCATTGATTTAAGGGTTCCCTACTACTCGAGTGCAGGTGTTCTTCAGATTTGCGGTCTGATCAGTTGCATGTGAATTTACCAGATCTTTTTATGAGAAAGTATTTTTTAAAAACTGTACTGTGGTAACCTCATGCATACACCACAGAAATTTCCTTCACCAAGGTGAATCCATGGACCAGTGACAGCCAGTCCTTCACATGGTTGTGCGGCTGTGGCGAGCAGCTCCAGAACCTTCCCCCTTGCCATGTGACCTCAACGCCCCTATTGTGAACCCCTCCACCTCCCCGCACTGCTCCTGACAGTGCCCTCCGCCCTAAGCCTTCAGGAACTCAGGACTCTCCTCTGTGAGACACGCCAAATCCTACAGTGCTTGTTTTTGGTTTTGCTTTTTGCTGATTGGCTTCCCATAATACCTTTAAGCTTCTCTCATGGTTTAGTGTGTGCCCAATTTTTCTTCTTTTTTGAAGGATATTATTATGACAGTATTACATGTTAGTGTTTATGTGTAAGTAGCTCTGAGCCCGAGGGGTTTGGCTTTAGTTACTGCAGGACTAGGTAAGTGGTAAAGGGGACCTTTCAGGCAACTTCAGTCTTGACCAGAAGGAAGAAGAGTAGCTTGGGATTCACTGTAAGAAAAGAACTGGGAGCAAAAGTGTGTACTGGCGGGGCACACTGTGCTCGTGCCCCAGCCCTGTGGTGGTCCCCAGCTGCTTCTGCCTGGGCAGCTGCTGTGGACACAGATGCCCAAGTCTTTTGGAGGCCCTGCCCTGGCCCACAGGAGGACAGAGTTGGTAGGTGGTGGCACTGAGGTCAGACTCCTCAACTGCAGGGTTTGCACAGTCTTCCATGGCCTGGTCCCCCCCTTTGTCGCTGTCTTCCTGTCCACACCCCTATGCACACGTGAGGCTGTGGGTCTCCACTGCTTCCCCTGCTTCCCAATTTCTCCTGTCAGGCTTGGTACCCTCCTGCCCTCGCTGCGGACGGCTGCGGTGACTCCAGCCTGTGTGAATGAGCGCATCTCCCAGGCCTGACTGCCCTTCAGAGTAGGAAACAGTTCCCTGCAGGGTGCGGGAACCTTTCTCCTGGAACTGGGCTTAAAGGTTAGAAAAACAGCGATGAACAATGTGTTGTGTAGACAAGGCTAAAAACTGTGGTTTCCTTTCCTGCAAAAGGATTCCTGACAAGCCGATGGATTACAAAGTCCTCGATATTGCTGAGAGTGAGTAGGAAAAAAAGGACAAGTGTTTCCAATATGTATGTGGCTGTGGCATTAATTCACTTGTTATCTTCTACAGGGAAAAGGAGGCAAAGTAAAAAGCCAGATGGGAATCGTGGGTCATCGAGCCCCAAGGCCACACACACCCTCAGATTTGGTGAGTTCTGTCATGAGTTTATTTTTCCTAGGTTTTGTAAGGTTATCGATTCCTCCCGGGGCTAAGAGTTGCTTCTGATTTGCTAGAATAGCAGTTTCTTGTGGGAATGAAACAAAACAAGCAGCAGAACTGGCCCGGGCATCTTTCGGTTTCCTGTCTGCGCCCTTCAGGGTGAGCTGGTGCGGCTCTCTGTATGTGGAAGGAAGGAGGTCCTGTTTTCCACCCGGGCAGCCCCTGCCTATCATGCAGGGCAGCACGGTGTGGCCTTCAGGAGGGCAGCTCCTGTCTCACACTGATTGTCTTCGAAGGGAGTGGCCATTGACTGCCCCAGGACTGCCAGGGTTGGCTGGGAATTTTTCAATCAGATGAGTCATTTCTCCCAGGGGAAAGGCTACCGTGTTCCTCTAGTTCAGGCACCCTGATCACGACAGCGGTGATCCAGTGATTATATCCTAACCCCAGATAATGCTTGGCATCAGGTGGCAAAGCCCCAGTGAGTTAACACTGGGCTCCCTTGCCTGTGTATCGTCAGCCCCTCCTGCTACCTGGTCTTTTAGATGGATAGGGGTGTCTTATGCATTGAGGAGACACCAGGGACCTCAGGGACTCAGCAGGTAGAGCTGGATGGACTGGGCAGAGATGAGCTCAATTTAGATGGTCATTGTCCTCCCACGCACCAGTGTCCCCTGAGTCTAATCTGCCTCCACCCCGGCGTCTTCCCTGGCTTCTTTGTAGAAGGAAACGGGAGATGTCTGGCTTTCCCAGGACGAAAAAGTGGGGAATATGATTTTCCCCCTTGGTGCCATCTGCTCGGGCTCTCACTGTGGGGGCTGAGTGCTTTAATGGGCACAGTCTTGTTCCACCACGTGACCGCAGCATGAAGTTGGAGATTTTCCCACCCTTCTTTACAGGTGAGGAAACTGAAGTCTGAATGGCACAGAGCCAGCCTGGTGAAGTGCTCCAGGGAATCTGTCCCTCAGCCCATCGGGAAGCTCTTCTTTCTGGAATTAGCATTGTCAGGTCTGGACCCGAGGGAGCAGGCACAGGGTGTGTGAGGACCTCCTCTCCCAGGCCCTGGCAGGCTTAGTGTGTCCTCCAGCACAGCCTTTCCAGGAGGGAGCAGGCTGAGAACAGAGAGTGTTCTGAGCTCTGAGGGCGTGGTGGGCATCACAACCCCCTCGGGCCACCGGGAGCCTGAGCTTAATTGTCTTAACAAGTGGCATCTGGATTTGATTCTGTCTCACACGAAACCTGTGCTGTTTCTGAATGAACCTGGGCTTCAGATGTTGACAAACAGATCCTCCCCTTGGCTTTGCCAACTCTCCGGGGTCTTTTTCCTTGCTGTTCAGCTACATCCATGGGAGTCTTGAGAGCTATCAAAGGTACCAGCTGGGAGGTTCTGGGGAAAGTAAAACCATGGGATGAAGACATATCTGGAACTGGAGAGACAGAGACCTCCCCAGGCTCCCACAGTCCCTGTGTTCCCCTGCAGACTGAGGAGGAGCCAGAGGCATCTCTGCCCGCTCCAGCCAGGAGAGCTTGAGCTGGTGGACTTCATATGCTGCCCTGGGCATAGGCACATTTGGAAAATAGGCTGGGGAAACCATGCAGTGAAAGAAATCAGGCAACTCGAGCCTCCTTGCTGAATAACACCAACTACATGAGGAGAGGAAGAACAGGGCGGCTCTTGAGAAACAAATCAAGCAGCCAGGCCCAAGCCCTCAAAGCCACAGAGCCCCTGCACCTGCTCCTGTACTTGCAAAAGTAGGTCCCAACCAGGCTGGAGACACTTGGAGAAAGGAAAGCTTATTCAAGCAGTTTCGTTTTAAAAGCTGAGTGGCAGCCTGATTTCCTCCTCAGTCTGGCCGGTAGGCAAGCAGGAATCAGACAGGGGCACTTCTGAGAAGAGGACTTTCTGAGTCACTGCGGTGGACTTCCCATGCTGTCACCTCCAGCTGGTCTCTGCTGGGAGCAGGGGCTGTGGAGGACATTCAGGGTAGCACAGAGAGCCTGGCCTGGCCTGCAGGTCTAACTGCACAGTGACAGGCCTAGAGAATTCAGGTCACACTTGTCCCCCTGTGCCTGACTGGTTGGAGATATTCAGAGCCCCCTCTGAGGCTTCCTGCAGGAACTGTCCCAGAGATCTAGGGTCTGCTGGATGCCCTCAGAGCTGTGTGAGAGGTACAGAGGCCTATGCCCCACCGACTGACCCACAAAGTGACAGGATTTTGCTTGCTGGAGCTGTTTTGTGTCTGTGTGTTTGTGTGACATCTAGGATGCCCCAAAGTGGTGCTTCATCCAGGGGTGTCTTCTCACACACCCCTGAGATGTGGGCAGAGGTCTCCCAGTGGGGGATGGGGATGTGGAAGCAAAGTGTCTGCCTGTGAGGGTCTCTCACCTCCTGTGCCCCTCTGCAGCACTGTGCTTGCCTCTCTGCCATGCTGCTCCTCAGTGCTGCTTTGGGCAGAGTGTCACTGCATTTGCACTGCTGCCCTATGGTGAGCTGCATGTGCATGTCTGGAAGGAGGTCAGTGAGACTGCGGAGCAAGCCCCCTTTACACCACAGACACCCCAGGAGCAGCTGTGCTGGGCATACAAAGCACCTGTCCATGCTGGGCTCTCCTTGAATAAAGAGCAACTATCTCCACTTTGGCTAAACCGAGCCCTATCTCCATGCACTGGCTAAGCCATTTCCTTTTCCCTTCAGTTGGCTCTCAGCAATGTAAACAGGGCTGGCTCAGGTGCTGACACATAATCTTTGAAGCTAGGTGACAGTCAGTGTTTCCTCACCCCACGGCTCCCCAAAAAGCATGGCTGAGCCTGGCAGGATGAAGAGCCACCACTTTGGGGTTGTCAACGGGAATTGAGCCTCAAGAAGGGAGGCTATGACATCCCAGGGCAGAAAAGTTCACACATCAGAGCTGGAGCACCAGCGCCAAACGTTAGGTAGTACCTCAACTGTGTTACGCAGACTGCTCCTTCTGCATATCCTCTCTGCATCCTGCAGAGGTGATTTTAGGGCCTGTGCGCTTCCCACCAGTCTCACAGTCACTCATCCTCAAGCCACTCCCTTCTTCACCAATTAATAAAATCCAGTGAGGCCTTTGTTTCGATGAACCTTCATCTTGGCTGGAGTTGAGGCTCCTTGTCTCTCCATAACTATAAATACGTCTTAGTGTCTGTTCTCGCCATAGGTGGTGGATTGGAATTAACTTATTGGAGTTCCAATAACTTTTCTGTAGAATTACAAATATAAACTTCCCGGACCAAGACGAGGACTGGGACAGGCTCTACACCAGGCAGGACTCACCCGGGAGGGAGGAAGGGGAGGAGGCCATGCGGCCACAGCGCTCCTGCTGGCCCTGCTCCCTGGCCCTGGCCTCCCTCAGCCATCCATCTTTCATGTGTGCCGCACTCAGGTCCCCTGGACCAGTTCCAGCCAGAAACTTCCCCCGATGCCTCACCCTGCCATTCACACACCAAAGTTGAACGCCAAGATCCTGCCCCAAACTCTGTTCAAGATTCAGCTTTCAGGGTGCTGACACTGCCCTTCCCTGGTCACGAGTCTGAAAACGCCTTCCGCCCACTTGGCTCCAGACCTGTGTGCTTTTTCCACGGCTGCCACTCGCCGCTTACACCCCAGCGAGCCCCACTTCCTGCTGCCTTGTGGTGACCAGCCCCAGCGCCCCTGCCCAGCTCTCCTGCTGCTCCTCATGGGTGTGGCCTCACGCTGCCTCTGAAGGCCTTGCTTTTGGCAAGAACGCTGTCCTGCATCTGCTGCCTCCACATCACCGCCATGCACACACACACACACACACACACACACACACACACACACACACACACACGTCAGAACAGCGCTGTTCAGACCGAAGGGTGCTCTGGGCCTGTTTCATGTCCTGCCGATGACTTGAGGCTCTGCACACAAGGTCGACTCATGGAGCCCTGCCTTCCATCACATTCTGCCCTGGGTCCAGGGCCTGCATTCTGTGATTTCTTCCTCGAAGGAACCCATGACAAGAACACCACACCCCAAACCAGGAAAATGGGTCTTCTCCTCCAGGTTGGCTTGACTTAGCTCAATTACCAGATTTACTTTTTGTCTCACTTAACTAGAACTGGAACAGAGGTGCCAAGGGTTACAAGTATTGTGTGTGGGTCCAAAAGGTGGGGGCCACTCCCCCAAAGCTCCAAGTGATAACACAGAGCCCACAAGCTCTAGGCAAGTGGTGTCGAACCTGCGGCATGCCATGGCAAACCCACGGCACGCGTGCCACATCTGGCTGCTTATTATCATCAAACACTCTGAAAGGTTCGCCATCACTGCTCTTGGTTGTGGTGCAGTCCCCATCACAGCTGTATTTTTCACAACTGCAAAAATATCTTAGCAAGTTGTCAGCCTCTGTCTTCATTTCACATTGGAAAATAAATTACTGGGAAATGCCCACAGCTGTGTCTAGCTTGTGCTGATGAGGACAGGTCCTGCAAACTGTTCTACACTGCATGCTCAGCGTGGGGAATTTTGATGAAACATCATCCATGTATTTGGTTATATTTCATTTTTTTGGTTTGTTTTATTTCTTTGTCACACAAAACTATGTGCACACAGGGATTTTAAATAGTGCCAGGAAACAAGGTTTTGTTTACCTTCGTCCATTCTATAAAAAATATCCTCCCGGTAACCCAGCATCTCTCTCAGTAACCAGGAGAGCAACACAGCAGGAAAACCCAGCCACGAGGCAAGGACCCAGAGGATCTCAAGGGGCACAGAGTTACAAACACAGCCAAGGGGTCCCAAGGGGTACACAATATAAATGCTTTATTGCTAGCACCGGTTTCCTCTTAAGTCAGTGAAAAGAAATAAACCTCCATCTTCACATTCGATGTCTCAGTTGGAAGGTAACTAGCAGGTGAACGGGTGTGTTCAGCTGGATGCACTGTGGGGGGAGCGCAGGGCATTCGACAGAAGGACACGGAGAGCCGGCTTCTGTCCGGGCATCAGCTTGCAGCTCGAACTGTTGTCTGCAAATAACAGCAAGGAGAGATTTCTTGAAAACATCGTGGATAAGCAAGGGTGAGGCACAGAAAAATGGTATGGTTAAGAAGCCGGAAACCGTTACACGCGGAAGGCTGTGTACGTGTTCCACACTCACTAGGGAATGTTTGGTACTTTTAAATAAGTGACCTTCATTGTGGTTAGAAACCGCTTGGGTCTGGCAGCCGTGGAGAGGAGAGAAGGAGCTAATGCTGTTTCTACCATGCTGGGGGACTCCATTCAGAGAGGGGAGGACAGCGAGTTTGGGAGGGAAAGGAGGCAAGCCTGGTGCACGCCTGCCCGCTGTAGGCCGAGGTGGGCTGGGGACGGGCCGGCCAGGTGGGAGGCAGGTGGAGCCTGCTGGGGCATGGCTATGTGGCAGAGAAGAAAATCCTCAGGCCAACCGGGACCCCCAAAGTCACTGCCATGGGTTTCACAGGGAAGACTCACACCACAGCTCTGGGCATGATGGACGCTGAGGTGGCAGGGCTGGGGTGCGGGGACACTGTGGGGTCCCAGCTGCTGCAGCAGTTCAGTATAAGACCTGGCAGCCACTGCTGGAAATGAGGTTGTTTTTGCAAAGCACCCAGCCTCATTACCTTCTCAAGTCTGCCTGCATTGTTTTTTTGGTTAAAGTAAGCTTGCAAAAGATCTTATCACCTATAAAAGACAATCATGCCCCCCAAAAGCATGCACACACACACACACACACACACACACACACACACACACACATATGCATGTATGCATGGTCAGAACTCTGCCAAGGGCAACTCAGAAGCAGTCACCCTTGCATGATGACCTCTGCTCTCCATTGTCTTGATCTTCTACTCGCATTATTTATAGATCTAAGGGAACCAGAGTGGATCAGGAACATCCCAAGTTCTCAGCTCCTTAGAACATCTGTGGGGTACCAGCTCCTGGCAGTGTCAGCCTGGTCTGGCTCTAACTAAAACTATTTCATGTTTTGCTTTGAAGAAATGGATAACATGAAATGGTAATTTGGCTGCAAAACCTTGGAAAATTGTTCCCGGCCCAAACATCTGTCCCAAATGAGCTCCGCTGAGACTTCCTTGGAGGAGGGTGGGGGTGCTGCTGATGGGGAGGAACTGGAAGCAGGAGGGTGAGGACAGCGGGAGGCCACCTGTCCTGGTGAGGGATGTTCTCAGCGACACAGGCACCCATGGCCCCCTCTCTCCTTCCGCGCCTCGCTGACCCTTTCCGGAAGAGCCCAGGCCCTGGCCCCTACTTGGCGCCAGCTGAGTGGCCTGCCTACCCTGTGTCATCATCACAACCTGTAAAGAAGGCCACAGCCCTACTCCGTCTCCAGCACAGGCCTCACAGAGAAGGCAGAGGGGAGCATGCAGGCCACCGTCACCTTCTCTCCTCCGGGTCCCTTAGGAGTTCTTCTGCGGGATCTTGACAGTGACGGTCTTGACTTCTGAGTACTCTCGCAAGCCCAGCTCTCCCCTGAAACACAGGAATGGGCAGATTGGGCACCGAGGTCCTGGCAGCCAGGCCTGAGCCAGGCGGGAAGTCTACGAGAGGTGCAGGTTACCAGCAGGCAGCTGCAGGTCTGGGGGAGCCAAGCAGAACCACCTACAATGGGCCTTCCTCACCCCTGCACAGAAAGCCGGGCACACCGGGCCTGGGTGAGCCCCGCCAGAGAGTCTCCAGGGTGGGCCAGGACTGGGGTCCCAGTGCCTGGGTCGCTGTTCCCACTGGTTCTAAGGACCAAGGAGGCCACCCGCTAGGCCCCAGCTTGTGTTCTGGGCCCTCTAAGAATGGCTGTCCCCAATGTGAGCCCCCACAGTTGGTCGCCGCCCCTGAAGGATCGACCCACTATCTAGGCCTGGCCCCTTCCTGGCAGTCCTGAGTGGTGCAGTCCATGTCCCACAGACTCAGAGGAAAGACTTAGGCAATAGAATAGCTGTCTGGAAAGGAACTGGGAGCTGTTAGTAAGTTCTTCCCACATTTCCTTTGGCTACTGCCTCTCTGGGACTTTTCATGGGCCAAGGATTGTCAGTCATTCAATCAACAAACACTGAGCTATTTCTAGGGGGCAGGGACAGTGCTGGGCTCAGGTCAAGAGACCTCTGCAGAACTTTCAGTAGTCGGGAATAGATGGAGGGCATTCCTCAGGTGGCCACATCCACCCCTGCATACCTTCAAGGGGCCACTAGCAGGCAGGCACTCTTTTCCCGTCCACCTTTCTCTTCTCGCCTCCCTTCGCCTCCTCCCACTTATCTGTTCTTTCTCCCATCTCATCGTAAAATCAGGCATGTTCTGTTCCCTTTTAAAGGCTCTGGTCCCTTTGCTGAGGTTGCTCACAGTTGACAAGACCCAGGGGACACCAGAGGGCCAAGGCAGGATTAGGGTATTGTCTGGCCTGAGGGGGCCGCCTGCTCACAGTGAGAGGCACACCATCAGCACCTCCATTCCGGCAGCTCAGTCCTGCCTGCCCAGCTGTGGTCCTGCCCTCTGCTGACGTGAGGTGCCTGCCTTCTCCTTCCCTGTACCCCATGTGCCTCCTGCTCAGATCCCAAGGTTATGAGAAACAGGAGTCTAAACTGGGCAGCCGAACGGTGGAGCCACGGTCCCCACAGGCACAGGGAAGCAGTGGGGACCATGCTGTCCAGGCAGGTCCTGGGCAGGGAGTGCCTGTGGCCTGGCCGGAGGCAGAGGAGCACACCTGGGGGTGCCAGGGAGAAGCCTTGGAGCAGTACAATGGCAAGCAAAGGGCGGATGAGCAGCCGAGGCTCTGCCATCCCCAGCTGTGGGCTCCAGGGAGGCCTCCTAGTCCTGAAGCTCAGCCCATGCAGTCCCTGCTCAGTGAAACTGAAGGGTTTTGTTGTCTTCCCTGCACCAAAGGGCCATCTCGGCAGGTCCAGGGCTAGACCAGGAGACAGATGAGGGGCATCGGGCAGTGCTCCTCTAGGGCTTGGGAGTGTGGGTGTTTCCAATTCTCTCTGAAATCTGTCCACCCCAGTTCAGGTCTGAGGCATGCATAGTCCCACGATTAACAGGAAAAACTCGCATGAAGGCCAGCATCCCGCCATGGAAGCGCCTGTCCCTGTGTGTGGTCCCTCTGACAGATGGCCAGGCTGCAGGGCATGGGGACACTCAGAAGCTGGCTGGCTGCTTCCCGCAAACAGGCCCTGTTCCCTAAGCCAAGCCAGGCGTGGCACAGCTGGGGAGGGAAACACTGGGTTTAGGAGCTCCCAGCAAGCCTTACCCATAAAGGAAGCCAGGGTTCCCACTGAGGGAATGCGTTTCCCCAAGCTTTTGCTTGGCTTATGGCAGCTTTTCCCAGAAGGAGGTCCCCAGACCACGTGCATCAGAATCATTCCAGTTAGAAATGCAGACCCGGGCCCTAGTCCAGCCCTGCTAAGTCAGGATCTCCGAGAGGGGGTCCCCAGGTGAGCGTGCTTAAAACCCCAACCACCAGGCTGCATATGCGCCTACGCACGTGTGCGCATACACACACACACACACACACACACACACACACACACACACACGCCCCTTCCAATGTGTTAGAGTGTCCCCATCACACTCCTGTTGGCAAAGCCAGAGTCCTTCATTTCCAAAATGTTAAGGTCACGGCTTCCCCTGTCCCTGTCCAGTTTGTGCTTTGCCATTGGTCAGCTCAGGCCACTGATAGGGAAAGGACAGCAAGACAGAAGCAGCATCTGGCAGGCAGAGCTGCAAGGAGCTGGACTCAGGTCTCCAAGCTCAGAGGAGGGGCAGCCTGTCGGGAGCCTGCCGGTGGCCGCCCTCACTGCAGTGCTTGGGGACAGCCCTGGACTCCTGGACAGGGACCTGGACCGGCCTCTCCACAGAGGAGCCCTTGAGAAGGAGGAGGAGGTTTTCAAAGCTGGAAGGTGACTTAAAGTTGCAGTGGGGAAAGAATGAAGAAAGGCATTGTGGGAGAAGTGAGGATGGTGTCTGGGGAATGCCCAGGGGCTGGTTGCTTCAGAAACCTCAACTGGTCTTTTCCCACTTCCAGGGTTAGACCACTAAGGAGAGGAGCTTCGAGGCTCACAGCAGTTTGGAGGATCACACTGCTCAGATACAAATCCTGGCTCTTAATTTACCACAGTGCAACTTTCGATAAATTACTCAATTTCCCATAGCCTCGGTGTCCTCATCTGTAAGATGGGACCGTTACAATACCTTGGGTACTTCAGGGGATTGCTTCAAGGGCTAGGAATGCAGACTGTCCAGCAACATCCAGCAAGCATTCTGGTGTGGGCTGCTGGCTTTGAGATGCAACTTAAGCCAACCTTCCCACCCACATCTCCAAGAAGTGCCTCTACTAACCCTGTGCCCTAAATCTGCAGTCTCAACCTCAAAGAGCCCTGGGGTTAGAGCTGGTGATCCAAAAGGGGGTGCTCTGAGCAGGTTGGGCAGAAATAGCCTCAAGCTCTGAGGTCTCAGAAACTCAGCACTGGGGGGCAAAATTGCAGAATTCACAGCTGGCAACTTCGTTATGGGGGACTGAAAATAAGCAAAACATATAAACTCTAGCTTTTATGTAAAGCTCCTTGATTTTGGAATCTCAGGTCATGGCCTAAGTGAGATCACACCTGGCCCTTGGTCTGGCAGCATCTTGATTTTTTCTCCTAAAACTCGGAACGGAGTTTTCTCTGTAATGCTTTTTCTGACCCCAGCAGGTATGATGGATTTTTCCTTGACATTTACAAGATTTTTGATCCACCCTCCTCAGTGACTCTTATTACATGAAGTTAATGATATATTAATTTTTCTCTGCTTCCCCTTAGAATTAGGGAGTTTCATTCTCGTTGACTTTTATCTACTTTTGAAGACCTACAATGTCTCCAATGTTTTGGTTTTGTCGGTTTTGTTCTTTACTGTTTTGCTCAATTGTATTACAACTAATGATATAGGCAATTCTATTAGAGATAGCGGGAGGCATTATGGTAACCATTGTTGATCACCTTGTATTATGTTTTTATATTATCTATTATGTCCACCCTTTTGACTTGACCGATTCTGCTCTGTTATGTCACATTTGGTTTTACTCTCTTCCAAAAAAGCAATAAGAACCGTGGGAGCAATGAAACCCAAAATGTGTAATAGTCATTGTATAAAAGAGAGGAAAAGAAAGTGCTCTAAACTATATAACTGCATGTATATTTAAGTGTATAAGATAGAAAATGATATCACAGAGTCTTATTGGATCATTGAACAGAACTGTTTGCAGTATCATTGTTGGAATGTCCACTCTACAAGCTTTAATTTTGTGACTTGAACAATTATTTCTAAGATGGCAATATGTAATCCATTAACTAGTGATTTCCTACTGCGCATTTTTTTCTTCTGTAAATCTGTATAACTTGTACCCCTTCACTGTTTTTTTTTTCTTTTCTCCTTAAATAAAATAAAAAAAAAGAATTAGGGAGTTTGTTTTATTCATGGCTACTATTAGCATATAGTAGCATGTGCCCACCAAAATGTGACTTTAATAAGTGCATGTGAGTGAATTGAGCTCTCTATGATATTTGCAGTCACTGTTTCTCTATCAATATTAGAAACACTGACACTTACATTTCTCTCCCATTTCCAGACATCTTGAACCCCCCAAAGGGGCTCTGGGCATTTAAGGCATTGTAACAATTGATCCTGAAACAACACAGCAAATCATATTGTTAATATGAATTCCACCTGCACAGAAAGAATCAAATTAGTATGATAAATCCTTATAGTTTTACTTTTTGCTTCTTTTCTCAGAACAAGAAAATTATAGGTTAGAACCTGATGTAATGACCTGATCTAGCCAAAGCAGTGTATCCAAGTCTGGGTGACTTCAGTCTGCCTCATCAGGAGAGCAGGCATTTACTGAACCTTGGATCCTCAGAACTATGAAGCCTTGCTGTGGTTTGGATCTGTTTAGCCCCCAGAGTCCCAGTGTTATAAGCCTGGCCCCAGATGGCGATGACAGGAGATGGCATGGACCTCAGAGGGAGTCCTTGGTCACTGGGACTGCTGCCCGGGATGGGTTTAAGATCGTGCCCAGGGGCTCCAAAGTTCTTAGCATAGTAGGCAGCCATGGGGCCCTCTCGGATCAGGCTTACGGCCTCCAAAACCATGCACTGAATAAACCTTGCAAAATAAAGTTATGCCGCCCCTGGTACTGCATCCCAGGAGTGAGAAATGAACTAACACAAGCTCTCTAGCACCAGGGGAGGCTTTGAGGGCCACGACAGTGCGGTTGCTTCTGATCTTACCATACAGTCCCGGCCTGCATGGCAGAAGACACTGTGAGTGCCTTGTTGATGTCATTCGTAAAGACAGCGGCCACCAGTCCGAAGTCCGAGCTGTTGGCTCTTTGGATAACTTCATCCATAGTCTTAAACCTCAGGATCTCCTGAACAGGTCCAAAGATCTGCAACGAGACAGTGTGACTGGGTCGGCTGCTTTGATTCAAAACCAGTTTACAGGGCCTCGACTATCTCATGGCCTGGAAGGTCAGCAGCACTGAAGTGGAAAGCATGCGGAGGAAGGTTAGCGAGCCTGACCTCAGAGCTTAGGCTTGTCACCCCTCACTTCCGAGCATCACTCAACCCTGTGTGTACTGAGGGGATGTTCACCAGCAACAGCAGCAAAGTGGCTTCCTTCCTGACCCAAACATCACTGGGACCACTGGTAAATGTGCTCCTGCCCTCAGCTGCACAGACACAGGCGGCATGCAGGGTCTGTCTTCATCCAGCGGCCCCCATTTTCCAGCACTGCTGCTGCCGCCAGTGCACCTCCGAGGCCCCGGCTGGCTGGCTGAACGTTCTGTCCACTGTACCCATCACAGTCTCGCAGCACGTCCCCTGGTCTCCATGCAGCTTGCTTGTGTGTTCCCACATAGCCACAGCCACACTGATTGCCACTGCAACATGAGTGCGCATAAAATGCTAAGAGCTAAAATTTGGGCACTGTCTACTGGATGCACTTTGGAAACCACACCCAAGAAAGACGCAGACCACGTCTGGTACCTCCTCCTTGGCGATCCTCATGTCATCCGTGACGTTGGAAAACACGGTGGGTTCGATGAAAAACCCCTTCCGGCCCAGCCCTTTGCCCCCACACTCCAGCTTGGCACCTTCAGCCACGCCACTCTGAATGAGCTCCAGGATCCGGTTGTACTGTTTCTTATCGATCTGCAGAAGGAAGCACACGGCAAGCACACCCTTTGCTGAACCTAGAGACAAGTGCACCCTCCACACCCTCTCTGCTATGATTTTTACTCTGAAAATCTCATTATTTCCAGCCAAACCTTACGGAGCTGTTGTCAACTGGTCACATGCGAAAAATGGCAGTTTTCTATGTTTAATCTGACATAGGAAGACATCCAATAAAGACATGTCACCATGGTTACTGAGAGCCTGAGCCCAGAGGGGAAACACCCCAAGCCAAGGGAAGTCGGGGGCCCTGCCGACCACATCGCCGCAGCTCGGACTCTGCAGACTCGGACAGTGCGGTGAGGAGCAGACAGGCCAGGAGGAGAGAGGGTCGCCCTCCACCCTGGCAGTTGGGGGTGACTCTGGAAGCCGGGGGGCCAAAAGGATGGGGTTCTGATGCTGAAAAGTGATCAGACTCCAAATCGTCCCCTTAAGTTCGAAACAGCCCTGGGTCAACCTTAGACCCACAGTGGCTCAGAGATAAAATTTAGAAAAAGAAACAGAGCCTAAGGAGCAAGCCACATCTCTAGGGGTGACACTGCCAGCCAGGAAAGAGGCAGCAGGAAGGGGCGGAGGCACAAGAGTCCATGCTGGCTGGAGATGAGGTGGGCAGAGGGGTGCAGGCGTCTCTCTACCTGCGGGCCCTGCTCGGTGGTGGGGTCAAATGGGCTCCCCACGACACGCCTCTTGGCCCGCTCCACGCTCCTCCGCACAAACTCCTCGTAGATGGACTCCTCCACGAAGATGCGGGAGCCCGCCGTGCAGCACTGGCCTTGGTTGAAGAACACGCCCTGGTGCGCCTGCTCCACGGCATGGTCCACTGCAGGGAGAGCCACACACTCCAGCCCAAGCCGCCTCCCTGTCCGCAGCCCAGGGTTACCTCTGTCATCCTCAGGCAGAAGACACCCAGCTAGATCCCAGCCCAGCCCTGGTTCTAACAAATGCAAATGGGGATGAAGTCAGTGCTTTGGGTCCCTTTCCAGTGCTGTCAGTGGAGGGACAGATACTCTGCCACCCCAACAGCACTCTCAAAAGCCACTGTGCAAATCAGCCAGACAGACCAGTCAAGGTCCAGACCTGCTTGCTGACCAAGCCCAGGAGAGACAGGGAAGGGAAGCCACTGCGTTTGGCTCTCTGCCTGCCGGAACATAAATTGAGAGTTTGCCAGAGCTTTCCCATTTAAAAAGAAAAAAGAATTCAATGTACGAAAGCACAGGTTCGATTTTCACTGTGGTGTGATGGTCAGACAGGTCGGCCTGTGTCTGAGCACATTCAGCCGCGGGCTACCCTAACCTGTGGGCCCGTGTTCAGCTAATTAGCTTTGAACAGTGAACCTGCTTCAGCCAAGGATCTCTGGAGACTCTAAGCTTCCTCTATATTGAGATGGAATTGTGCAAGAGCGATGATCATTTTTTCACTCTTGTATTTTACACTTAAAATCCTCCAGCGCTGCACAGCTGGCTGCCTGCCCGCGTGTCGGTGCCTGGGCAGGGTGACAGCGCCTTGCCTGCTCCTTGGAGGAGCAGGGTTAGGAAACCCGACCTGACTGGCTAGCCTGCAGCTTGAGCTGAGCTCTGCACATTCCCTGCCGGCGATTCAAGCCATCTGCTTTCCATTCCCTGACCCCTGCATCGGTGGAACTGGAAAAGCAGCTCTGCCCTGAGGAGGATGTGGAGAAGGAAGGGGATGACTAGATGAGATTCTGGAATGTCATTCCTCTGAGAGCTGTGTGGCACTGGCTAGGTGGCCTCCTTCCTGAAGAGCTGGGTTTCCTAGCTTACTGTGTTGTTTGATTTTTAAGGTGAGGTCTTTCTTTGTCACAGAAGCTTAGCCCAAGCTTCTGCATGCAAAGCAGCTGGGATTGTAGCCTTCTGCTACAGCACGGGACACAGTACTGCAGTTTTACCTCTGCAACAGAGTCAGACTTCAGGTGCAGCCACACATGCTTTACCGGGACCATTCATGCCCAAGGTCAGGACCACATTAATTCCTTTTCTGTTTCACATGAACATCTAGGACTGACGCATGTTGATAAAATCTCTATTTGTGGAGTGAGTCAATGACTGCATCCTTTTGGTTGTTGTTGCTTTAGGTTTTTTTGGTGTTTGCTTGATTGTTTCTTTGTTTTGGCACTGGGAATTAAATTCACAATCTTTCACTTGTCAGGCAGGAGCTGTGCTGCTTATATCCCAGCAATGACTGAATCCTTCTTCCTAGCTTACTGCCCTGAGCTTCTGGAAAGTCCTCCTGGTGAGGCTGGTTCCCACAAAAGGGACGTGCATGTGCTGTGGTCCTGGCTGGAGGTCCCGCTGGAGCAGGAAGGGCTGTGACAGCTGGGTTTGTGGAAACACTGGCAGGGCTGGTGAGTCGGGTATATATGCTGTGGTCTACAGTGACCAGGTCCAGCTAAGCACTCAGACGGTGCACCTAGGCGGAGGGACCCTACCGCAGGATCTCCAAGCTAGACCACTCTTTCTGCGACAGCCACTTCCTGAGGCTTGACCTCTTCTACTCCATAGCATCACACAAACTTTTCAGTGTGCAAGACAAGCTCTGAGTAGTGGTCAGTGAGTAAAAGCCCTTCTCAACAGTAGCTTATTTTCACTCAGAAAGATGTCTTATCACTCTATCAATAATCAGAGATTTTAGTGTCTTATCAAGAGGAGAAATATACCAACATTCGAGAGGCTGAGGCAGGAGGATAGCAGGTTCAAGGTTGGCTTGGATTGTGCAGGGAGACGCAGTCTCAAACCAACCAAACCAAACAAGTGGAGGTACAAAAGAGAGCAGCAATGATCCTAGCACGCAGGAGGCTGAGGCAGGAAGATTGCTACATAGTGAGTTTGAGGTCAGCCTCAGCTACATAGTGAGTTCAAGGTCAGACTGAACTATATAGTGAGACCCTGACGAGATATACGTGAGATCTACAGTTGACTTACAGTCTGCGTCTGCAAAAATAATATTGGGACTTTTTCCTCCAAGTTCCAGGGTTACTCTCTTCAAGTTACTTCTTCCAGCAGCCTCTTGGATAAGCTTCCCAACCTGAAAGGGTCAAAGCGAAGAGAAGTCAGCACACCTTGCAGCTGAGACAGCTGGTGGCCAAAGCCAGCTCCGGCCAACAGTGGGAAACAGCAGCCCCCGATCCTAAAAGACCAAGACCCCCTCAGAATGCCACAGGGTCCACTTGTGTGGCCAGCTGGGTGGCCAAGGCACCAGGCAGCTTAATGTCCACAATGGAGAGACCGGAAGGACACATTATTCCCTACTGGAAGGCCCAAAGCAATGGGCCATAAATCTGGAATCTCAATCACCAAAAGATTTCCTAAAGATAAATGGCAAACAACATGTGAGCAGAGATTTCCCCCACTGTACTGCGGCCCTAAGCTGGGGACACCGGCCACGTTGGTAGATATGGGAAAGGTGAGGTGAGCGTCCACGTAGCTGCAAAACAGTGGCGGCTGGAGGGTCATCACTGGTCCAAGGGGACACTCAGTCTCACCCCCCCATCCCGGCCAGAGGTTGCAGAGAAAGGACTCTAGGGAGCCGAGAACCCATCTCTGTCCATGTCATACTGCAAGTTCCTGTTCATGGAGAAGTCAGTTACACACGCAGGTGGGTCTGAAGAAAGCACCGCCATGGCGGACTCGTATGAGTGTGGAATGGATACGGGACATAACACTCGGCCTCTGTGGTGGTGAGCACTGCCTGGCTTCAGTCCCTGGTGCAGTCGTGTGAAGACCCTGGCCCTGCAGCCCTGCTTGGACCCCTGAGAGGACCTGCGTGCTCCAGTGCGCCCCCTGTGGCCGGCAGGGGCGCGGCAGGTCTGCCCTGCAGCTCGCTGTACCCCTTGTAAGCCAGGAACCGCCCTCTCCTTCCCTTCCTTCCCCTACCTCCTCCCTGCCTTCTGTCACGCTGGGTCACCCACCACCAGATCTTCTTGCTGTGCTCCAGACTGACTTGAAACAGTAAGGATATCGCCTCTTTCCAGCACAAAGCAAAGTAACGCTGAACACTGTAAAGCAAGTGTCAGTTGAGTCTCCTCCTTCATCTCTGGAAGAAAAGGACGCTGGGATGCTGCCGCTCACCCCCAAGAGAACACGAGGCTCGTGCTCACAGTACACCCATGCAACCCTGGCAGGAGCTCAGCAAGCACGGCCGGCTTTGCAGGCCACTTAGGATGAATCTGGTTTTAATTTAATGTTAGATCTGAACGGATTAAATTCTAGTTCTGCAGCTCTTTGCTGTAACCCGGAGTCAGACCACTCCAACCCTCACCTGCAGAAGTGGAGCAGAACGAACACACCCCCACCCTCCAACTGCAGGGCCCCGCCTCACAGCTCTTCTCCTGGGACTCTTGGCTCCAGGCTGGACTCTCTTTGGAAAACACTTGACTCCTCCTGAGTTCTCCCCAGGAGTTCAGGAAAGCAAAGCGGCCCTAACAGGAGGTAGGCCTTGCTACCAGTACTGAAAGGGACACAGACACTGCTGGTCTTGACATGCTGAAAAGCACGGCCTTCTGAATGGGTTGCTCCAGCACCTAGTACATGCACCCCACTCGAGGGTTTCCACAGTCGGAGCCAGTGGAATCACAGCATCTTACAGGTGTGCTGGGGAGCAAAGGGTGCACTTGATCAGCTCTCCTGATGGGAGCCAGAAGTGTGCTCCCAACAGACATGTGACATCAGCCTTTCCCACAGAAGCAGAGGGCAGGCGGCATGCTGGGTAGGGGAGGCCTGCAGGCCACGTGGACAGAGACTCGTGTTACTTGTTTCCGGCCAAGGCTGACTTGTTAGAGCTGCAGGTCGCTTCACAGACTGCACTTTGACCCAGTGCATGCAGAAGACCTGGATACTCTGAGGCCCAGCTGAGCTTCGACTTGGGAAAGCTCTGAGCCCAGGGTCTCGGTGGCTTCAGCTGTCGAATGAAGGCCAAGTATCGTGTTAACCTTAGCATGCTGGTTAACCAGAGGCATTAGGAAGTGACAGATGGGCTCCTGGGCCCCTGCACGCTCTAAGAGTCCATCCACAATTCTCCTCACCTTACACAGATGCGATTTCTCACAAGAGCACCACAGCTGCCCAGAATGGCAGGGACTCCGGTCTGATCATAGCTTCCCCATGCAGGGCTCCGCGGCAGGGTCAGGGACAGTGTCCCTCGCCCTACGGTGCGTCCTTCTCTCTGCACTTCCTGCGAGCCTCACAGCGCTGTCTGCGAAGGGTGGTGAGCGAGGGGCTGCCCCATCCAGAAGGAGACTGGGCTGGTTCTCAGCAGGGAGCTGGCATAGACCAGCCGGGCCTCCTGCTCTGCTCTGAGTGGACTGCAGGATTGATATGGGGAACATCCCTGCAAGAGCCACCAGGTCTGGGCTCATGTTCTGTCACCACTCAGCAGTGCCATTTGGCCCTTTTTAAGGAAAATCATCTGGTACACGAGACAAAAACAAACACAGGAGGCCTTTTAGGGCTTTCTATTCAGGGAAGGCATTCCCCACGGTGAAGTTTCTAAAATTGGGTATAATTTTCTTTTTACTTATTATCCAAATTACGGCCCATTCCTTCTCAGCGATATGATAACCTTTTAAAAACAGAAAAATAAAAATAAACCTCCAGTAGCGATCGCAGTTAAAATAGTCAAAGAGGCCTGCTTTCCACAGCAGATGATCATCTCTTAAAGTTAATCCCAAGTCGACTGACTCCACTTCTTCTCTTGTCTTTCCAGATTTTCATGGTTGTGCTTCCTGGTTCCAACTATGATGAAAATAAAAATGCCAGCCATATATGAAGTGGGCATCTTTTGTCTTTCTAAAGTAGCCCCAAATGGCCACATGAATCTTGCTCAGATGTCCACCAAAAGGTAACAGGACCAGGGGCCCTTAAGGAGTAACAGTTCTGTTATTTAAATAATAGCAGCAAATTCAAAACGTTGTCTGTGAAATGAAGATTAGGAAAATCAATGCCATCCTCAAGCATGTTTCCAACCTCCCTTCCTGAATCACCACACCTGTCCACCACACTGGCCATAGGAGGTCACCTTCCTATCTTGGGACATACCCATCCTCCCTGGATAATTTCATGAGCTCCTTCCGCACCCCACTCTCAGCACCTCCCCCAGGTTTGCCCCCTCCTCCTCCTCCTTTTCCTCCTCCTCCTTCTGGGATCCCATGGCACTCAGACATGGCTCGAGCCCCATTCTTGTTTGCTGGCTTCTGTCTTCCTCTCCGCCCTGGAGTCCTCAGTGCATAGACGCCACCTGACCAACCATGTCCCCAGCACATGGACCACAGCAGGTCCTCAATGGCACTCTATCAGCATGAGCCAAGGCAGCACACCTGCCCCCTGGGGGCTCTGGGAACAGGAAGCAGAGATGGGACAGCACTGGATGCCAGCCCTTCCAGGCTGGGCTCTGCAGATCCTGGTGGGAGTGCCCTGGGCTTCCATCTGCTTCGTCTGTGGCTTTCGATTCCTCTTCTCCAATGTAGGGAACAGGGCCATGGCTCAAACCCTGCTGCACCTTGGAATTCCCAGGGCGCTAACATCTCTGGCTGAGTCTGGGCTGGATGTTCGGAGAATCTGATCATTTGAGTCTGGAGCAGAGCACACAGGCACAGTTATTTCTCTAAAGTTCCCAGAAGCATTTAAAAGTGCTCTGTAGTGAACCACAGTGTCCAGGAGACCCTCGGAGGCATCTCTCTCCTGTGACTCTCCAATGTCTCCTGGGTGGCTGCATTTCCCCACTGACTGTTACTGCTGACCAGCCCTATTCCATACACACATTTCATTTAATTGTCACGAAAATCTTGGGAAGCAAGAAATATTATTCAATTTTATAGTTGGGGAACAAAAGTAGGTTGAGTGGGTCAAGATAGGACAGGAGCGGAGCCCAGCCTGGACCCAGAGTGTCATGTGTGATAACCTCATCCTGCATTCCCTCCTCTCCTCCAGGACATGGGATTCCATCCTTTCAGCCACCAGCAGGATTCTGACAGTTAGACCTTACCTATGATAACCTCACTCTACATGGACCATCCTGGATTTAACTATGCTTTGGTTATGTAAAACTCTCTCTTGCTAGTTCACATCAATTTTTTTTAAAAACATCGAGATTCTAACCTCTTGGCCTCCTTTGATAGAAGAAACCTCAAATGTTAAAGTCTGAGATACTGATGCGTTGCTCACCAGGCAAACCCTGGAGACCCCACCCCAACTCTGCCTGAGTGTGGAGGAGAGAATTCCAGTGCAGCTTTGTGAGTAAATCAGGAAGCCCAGCTAGCAGACAGGGACAAGAGCGTAACTTTTTCTTATTCTTCAGTATATTTATTTTGGTTGAAGTATGGAAAAGGGGGAGAAAGCTAATCATCTGTAACCTGTACATCTAAAAGTTCTGTCCAATCAAGCTGATGGTTTTGATTAACATGCTGGATGATTTCCTAGTAGATTCACACGACCTTAGGAAAAGGTCCATTTGCTGTTTTACAAAAACAGCTGACAGGGTCTCCAGCAACTGCCCCCGCCCCCAAAGAGGAGGAAGGCAGACGGGAGACAGCGGGGCTGGGTCCTGCCCAGCCTCACAGGTGGCTGTGTGACACTCATCCCACTGGGAAATGAGAGGGGAGCCCGGCTGCGCAGGGCAGGACCGGCACTAAGACAGCTGCCAGCAGCAAACATGAGTCTGGCGGGCCTGGATCTGAGCTCTCCCGCAGTTTGCTTTGATAGTTCTCTACTATCTTGTTTCTTAATGATGAAATCATAGTTTGTTCATCTGACCGAATAAAGAAAACACTCCACCAAGCAGAATGCAAACTGTTTTCTTGTACTTTATGGAGGCTGTGTTTATAACAGCCTCCATACAACAGAATATGAAACATATTCACTTATTAAATATTTATGTGCATTGCTTGTGTATTTAGCTGCCTATAGATAAATGAATTCTGTCTTTAATCCGGTTAACGCTGTTTGCTCTGTGAAGGCCTTTTGCTATGGTTGAGTAGAAAGCAGCCGCCTCAGATGAGCTTCCTGCTGCTGGCCTTTGCTGGCTTCCTGTAATGGACCCATAGCCCCAGGGCGTCTACGTGGACCCCACGCAGAATCCATGTTTACATGACATGTTCATGTTCAATGTGCAAGAGTCTCTAATTTCCTAAGTAGCCTACAGGGTTAGAACAGAATAGGAGGACAATGAACTGAAGAACTGCAGGCTAAAGAGGAGGCTGGGATGAGGTCATATGACTGGTCTGTGCAAACCCTCCAGCCAGCCTGTGCAAACCCTCCAGTCAATGTAGACAACCGTGAATTCGCTTTCATATTGTAGAATAATTATGAATTGGTGTTCATATTTGGGATAAATGTTTCTCAGTGAGGTCCTCTAGCACCTACTGTTAATCTCATTCCAGGAAAGAAATGAGGCTCAATAGCCAACAGACTGCAAACCCCTCTAGAGAGAAGTATCAAGTGCGCACCCCACTGGGAAGATGCACCTGACACCCACCCCACACAAAATCAACCTCGTCGGGATTCCTAACAGCCAGACACTTCACAGGTTCACCTTCTACACCTACTATTCCCCAAATTCTCTGTCACCCCCCAACACACACACACACACACACACGCACACGCACACGCACACGCACACACACACACACACACACACACACACACTCACTGTGGTCTTAAAGCTCCCCATCAGTAATCTCCACAGCCAAGGAGCACATATTTAACTAATATTCTTCCTGTGTTGCTCAAGAATTCCTGGGTTCCTACCAGAACTGTAGGCTTCTGGTGCAGAGGGCAGATCAGAGAAGCTTAGCAAAGGCTGGAACAGACCCACATCCACAGGATGAATCCAGCCTGAGAACAGCACCAAGGTGATAGGACAGTGTTTGCAGGAGACAGTGCTGTGCTTTATCACCCCTAAACAAGAGCGCCCATCTTACCTCACAACACACACACACACACACACACACACACACACACACACATCAGCTCCATGCAAAAGTAACCACTACCTAGATAGGAGACAAAAACGATACAATTCTTAGAAGGAAATACAGCAGAAAAACTTTGTACACTTGAGTTAGACAAAGGTTTTTTAGACACAGCTCTAACAGCTTGATTATAAAATAAACTGGTGATCAGATATCACCAAAGTTAAGGTCTGCTCTTCAAAAGTACTGCTAAGAGAGCAATGAGGCAGGTGGCAGGCTTGGAAAAGGTGTCTGCAAAGCTCAAAGGACTTGTGTGCAGAATATAGAAAGAACTTTTAAAACTCAAAACTAAAAATCAAATAATACTCCCTCTCAAATGGGCAAAGATTATAAACTACCCTACTAAAGAAAATACAGAGTGGAAAATACACAAATGAATTAGTAGCAAGATGGAAATTAAAACCACATTGAGATAGCACCATATACTTATGTAAATGTAAATCACTAAATACAGTATGTGAATGGCTGAAATTAAAGACTGGCCATAGAGAATGTCGGCGAGGATGTAGAGTGGCTAGAAGTACTTCTTTTTTTTCATTACTGGGGATCGAACTCATCTGCTTGCAAGGCAGGTGCTTATGCTGCTGAGCTAAATCCCCAGCCCCTAGAAGTACTTTACAGTGTTGGTTCAAATGTGACACGTTATAATTACTTTGGGAAACACTGTAGCAGTTCCCAAACTGGAAACAACTCGGTTTTCTATTAATAGCTGAGTGAATAAACAAGCCACAATAGAGCCACCAAATGGAATATTGCACAGCAGTAAGAAGGATCGAATTACTGCCATACATAACATGAACGGATCTAAAAATAATTTTACTGGAGTAAATACAGCTAAGCAAAAGAATTTATACTGTATGTTTCTGTCCATATAAAATTCTAAAAATGCAAGTGATCTAGTCAGGAAACAGATCAGTATCTGGAAACACAAGGTTGGGGTGGAGGGAGACGTGGGAGGAACAAGATGATGGGGTGCTGGGAAACTTGAGGGTGAGAAGATGCAGGAGATGGAAAAGGTGCCTCGGCCGCTGGGATCATGGCACATGTGGCCACATTTATCAAGCTGTATGCTTTCAATATGTGAAGCCCATTCTATGAAATTATGCCTCAATAAAGCTGTTAATAAAGAAAAAACAAAGCGAGAAGAACATGACTTTGTCAGATCAATCGCACCGTGAGAGTGTCTGCTGTCTTTTGTGAACTCCTGGCAGGGAAATCACACTGAACTATGTGACCATTTCATGTGCGATTTAATGGTTTAAAGGGCCCATAAACACCTTTGGAATAGGTGCACTTTAACATAAACACAACCTGAAAGGAAAAGAAGAGTGAAGAGAAAAGAAGACAGCTTATGGACAGGAAGGACAGTGGAAACTGTCTTTCCAGGCCAGTAAGATAAATCAGGGCGGCTGGCATGAGGAAGGGGCCAACCAAGCTGAGGACTCTGAGTAAGGCCTCTTAGTCATCGTGGAAATGTCACAAAAAGAGCATTTACCTAAACACTCCCTGCTCCCTGAGAGGATGGAAGACGGTTCATTTCGGGGGGGGGGGGGAAAGTGGGTGGCTCCCAGGGTGGCGAAGGCATCTCCATGTGGATGCCACCAGGTCCATTCGCAGTGAGGCTACGCGGTCCCACTCAGAGCGCCGAGGGAAGCAGGACCAGCCCCGGTGTGCGCTCTCGTGTCATCTGAGGAGGCAGGGTTTTGCCTGACAGATGGATGATAGGCAGCTTCAGGGCACAGCCCGCTCCACCTTTAGGAGTCCAGAGTTCAAGCTGAGCTTCCAGGGCCATCCCCAGGTGAACTAGTGTGGTGCTTCCCTTAGCTGCTTGCTGCAATATTGTTCAGAAGGAAAGAGACCAAGTGGGCAGGTAAGGTATCTTGGGTACTGATGGGGTCCCAGGGAAGGAGAAGTGGGGATCGAGAAACAGCGGTTAACTTCCATGTTCAGAAACAAAGACAGGGCTGAACTGGTCCTGGGAATGCGCTCTGGAATAGGACCCAGCTCCTCAAACTAACGGAACACCAGCATTCTTGATCCTCAATGAATATAAGGATCATGAGAAACATTTAGGCAAGCAAGACTTTCTGGATCATTTGAGAAAAGCTCTAGTATAAAAATTGTTGGGGATACCAGAAATCTAGATCTTAACGGTTCAGCTCCTCGCCACCTTTGAACTACTGCAGAAAACCCTGGGCACACAGCTTTCACCTTATCAAAGAATTCCACTGCAGCAGAACCAGATCGAAGGAGTGGCCCTGAAAGCCCGAGTTCCTGCATAGGCACCCCAAATCCTCACCCAGAACTACATTCTAATTTCACCTAAAAAGAAATAGGATTTAAAAAGCAACTTTTCCAAAATTCAGGACATTTTTTCCAAAAATGATACAGAAGAGCAAACACACATGTGTGAACACATACACTCACACTGCTAGCCAGAGAGCAAGAATTAGTCTTCAGAAACATTATTTACAAATAGAAGTTTCAGGTTCAATGAATACTGAAATTTTACAGCTTGCCAAGCAATCTGAAGGAGCTTTCGAATACAGCCTCTCAACTCTCACATAAGAGTGTAAGGAGTTATTCACAGACCCTCTGATAGACAAAGAAATGAAAGGACAGACTAAAATAATTTGCTAAAGGTCAGGCAGCAGGAAGTCTAGATCTGCTCTAGGGTTGCTGAATCAAATACCCGCTGTATTTTACTACCCTTCCTGAGCATAAATTTTTCTATAAACTTCACTAAAATAGCAAATGATGACAGCTATTTACTGACACTTTACTAAAACATGACACTGTCTAGAGAACACTTCAAATGTATTGTTTTATTTCAACCTCACCATTCACAGAGTAGACAAAATCATTCTTAATCTCCAGCAAGAAATCTGAGGTCTGGAAAGATTAAATAGTAACATGTACTGTGAACAAATCCATACAACCATACTAGGGTTTAATGAGGTCTTGTGTCTTGATATGACTCTGACATCCTTCTAATTGCTTTTAGTATAGTTCAAAGACTGTGCTTAGAGCTTCTTATTGAAGAATTGTGATTTCTTCTACTTGTTTAAAGAGAGAGGTGACACAGTATTGTGACACAGTCCTCTTTCAAGTTCTGTTTCAGCAAGGTGCTGATGAATAATTTCCCTGTAAGATACTCTAAATAAAGGACAGAGAAAAACTAGCTCAAGCTGAATTCCACAAAAGCTCTAAATTTCCTAAACTTCAGCATTACCCGACATGGTTTTTGTTGACTATTAGGTCGATCAGCACGATCATTAACAGTTCAGCTCAGAATTTATCTCTATCATAACCCACTGGCACAGATAATTTTGTAGACAGAAATGAACTTGGCCTGCAGGCAGATGTGAGCAATGTAATCCGAGGAATAAAAAGATGGTGTGTGGAAAACAGCTGTAGAGGAAAACCTGGTATTTCTAATTTTCACACACTTTTGTGTTTCTTAAGTGCTAAGTACTTTCAAATCATTGGAAAAATCAAATCATCTGTGCCGTGCTCAGGGACCTGGCAGTCAGGTACTCACCACCCACCGCCCCCAAACCATGGAGGCAAATGCAGGTTCTTGGGGTTGGGTTTTCCCCACCTTCTACTCAACTAGGCTTCTCACGTCCTGTTAAAGAGACGGCTAAGGATGGACCAGACCTGCAGCTCTAGAATTCAAATGCCTTTTAAAAGTAGAACTGCTAGAATAGATTAAAAACAAAAACCACCTTTGCTTTGAAAGGGAGTGGTGTAGCCTGATCACTCGTCCTCTGTTCCCCACTGAGTTTTGTGA